TTTGTGCACAGGAGTTTGGGCCCTTTCGTTTCTTCCCTGGGAGCTTAAGCCATCAGTCGAGGCCACGAGGCAGGCGCCAGGCCCTTCTTGGACACTGAGTTGCCTCTGAGAACTGCCCTGCCCCTCCAGCCACACCCCAACCAGCGCCGGCTGTTTGTTTTAGAGATCATCTTATGTTCTGAAAAGACAAGAAAGTGGTGAGTCCTTCTCTCTCTCCTGGCCTTCGCCTCTGCCCACGTCGGAGCATGCCCTTGGCACCTCCTACGTCAGCTCTGATCCATCTATAGTAGGAGAAACTCCAGGAGACATCGGCTGCTACCCAGGGCACCGTGAGCTCGAGGTTGGCGAAGCCCTCCAGGAGACCTGTTCCCCTCTCAATGGCAGGTATGTCTCCTGCAAACCGTGTCTCCTGCCTTGCAGCCAGTATTCCTTAATGCAGAGCTCTATGAAGAACCTTTTTAAAAAAATGCATTCTAGAAAAAATACATTCCTGAAAATACACGTGTTACAGCTTCTTCTGACGGAAAATAAGAACAGCGGATCCCAAAGCAGAGGAGGCTCCTCTTCCACAGGGACAGGAGCCACGCAGCTCAGGCCGGGCCCAAGCCACAGAGGTCCTGGGCCGCGAGCACCCCCACCAGCCTGCGACGCCTCGGCCATCTCCGTCCCCCGCACTCCTGGCTTACTGCCTCAACCTCCCAGGACCCGAGGGCTTGGGCAGGCCCCACACATCCTCCGAACACCCTCGGTGGGAGCTGGACCAGAACTCGGAGCAGACAGATTGGAGGCCACACGTGTGTGTGCACATCAGAGCGTCTCCTACCCATGTTGGCAGCAGCGTGGGCCGCCAGGCGTCCCTGGCTGCGTCAGCTGCGCCATGAGTGTTGGCTGTCTCACACGCCGGCTTTCCCAGAGTCACCGCTGGGTGCCGAACACCTGCTCACTGCACGGAGCAGGTGGCTCCTTCTGGGCAGCTTTGCCCGCCGCAGTCCCCCAGCCTCCTCTCCTCAGCTGGGCATGTGTAGGAATGCCCACCCGGGGCCTCCACGGGGCCTGCAGCCTCCACATTCGGGCCTACTGCCCTCAGACCCAGGGGTCACAGTCCAGGAAGCCTGGGCCAGTGGGGGTATCCTGGCGTGCATGTAACACTGAGAACCATGTAAATAATTTGGGGCGTTTGAGCACACGTGGCCTTTGGGGAGTCTGGCCGGCTTGCCTCAGGTGGACCCCCCACCACCCTGGGGCAGAGGAGGGGGCTGGCTATCAGGACACCAGGGTTACACTAGGGCAGAGCCCATGTCCCCTCTGGAACTCCTCATAGTTCATACCTTGAAGCCCAGGCACTTGCGATGGGACCAGCGAGGTCAAATGCAGGACCCCTTGTCCTCACTGTTACCAGGAAGTGACACAGATGACTAGTCCTCAGAAACCAGAGCTAGCCCCACCCATCCCACCAAGGCACAGCAGCCCCTGGGCAGTCGCAGGGCCCAGGCAGGAGGGTCCGGCAGGCTCCTCACTCATAACATGGCCTGAGGGGGCTGGGCAGCTGGTCCTGGGAGCCCCCACCTGGTGCACCAGGCCGTGAACCTCAGCAAAGGCCCCGCCTGCTTCATGCCCAAGATTTGGCAATTGTTGGGGGTTACTTTCTCCAGACCACAACACCCTGAAGGCCGACACTGGGGAAGGCTGGAGCCCCCGCTCTTCACCCCCACCTCCTGGGGCTGTCGAACCCCAAGGAGCACCAGAAGCAGGATCCCCCAGGAGGGCCGGAGGCAGGAAGTGCCTCGTGGTGCCAGGGGAGGGTGGACGCCTGACTATGGCCTGAAAACAGGGAGTTGCTTCCAATAAAGCACGGAAAGAAAACAGCATGAATGGACCAGAAGTGCTTCCCAGAGTGAGAAAGGAGAGCGCTCACAATCTCTTCCACCCCAGGCTGCTTGGAGTAGGCCAGCGCTAAATCAGTCCCTGCACCAGCCAAGCCGTCAGAGCTCATCGACTGTCAAGGAAGGTGTGAGCCTTTGGCCAAGTGGTGCTGGGAGCTGGGGAGAGCTGAGCACTGCCCGGGGCCTCCTGAGTGCTCTGCCACCTGGCAGAGCAGGGCAGGGAAAGGAGGGCCCCTGACAGAAAACACCCTTATGGTCCTGGGGTCACCTTTGTGACCGAGGGGGAACGTATGTGTGTCACCATCATCCTGCACGACCGCTTCCTGACTTTGGAACCACTGTTTGCCTCTTTATTTTGGGTGTGGACCTGGACCCCAAGAAGCCCTTCCCCAAAGGTCATGTGACCATCACCACCTTCCTGTGTCCTACACCATACACCTGTGCTCACCTGGGTGCCAAGCAGTGGCCCGGCAGGGAGGAAGAGGGAGAGCAGGCGGCGGCGTGCCCATTCCTCTGTCCCGGCCTCTCCGTGACTGAGGCCCTGCACATAGCTCTCCACACTGGGCATTGCCCTGGGCTGTGCCTGGGTGCTCCCTGAGGCCCAGGCGGGAGGCGGCTGCTCCAGAACTTTCAATGCCCCAGTCTGTGCCATCAGCAAGGGGATCAGGAGCCTCCCCTGCACCCTATTTAATAAGCACCTGCTCATTCCTGCTTGGGGTGCATGCAACAGAAACCGAATTGTCAAAGGTGAGATTGATAACATGAATTAGACAAGACCATGCTATTGAATCCGTTGCATTGATCACTCAGATGTGCTTGGACTGATCAAGTGCTGCATGAAAGCTTGCCCGGCTCAGCCCTCCCACCCGGACACCAGCGGTGGGCACCGAGGATGCTGAGCCCAGACCTGATTGCTGAGTACCCAGGGAGGGGGATGCCAGGCAGGCTCGTGCCACATATGTGAGCCGCAGCCCCAGACCAGCCATGGCTGAAGTCACTCACCCCAAAGGTGGGCTCTGCACCTCTGCGTTTCTCATGACCTGAGTGTGTCTGGCTTCCCCTGCCCAGCCGTGGCCTCACTGGCTACTCACCCTGGACACTATATGGCAGCTGGTGCTGGCCCTGCCCCGCAGCTCCACCTTCCTCCTCCTGAAAGCCCAGGGCACCTTCCAGAGGCCAAGCAGGTGGAACGGGGCAGAGACCAGACATCACTATTCTCATTACTGACGGTGACAGGGGCCCCGGACGCCCTGAAGAGCCCTCAGCTGTGCGCTGACCTGGCGCCTCTCCCCATCCAGCGTGAATGAGATGAGAGAGAGAGGACAATGGTCCCAGGAAGGGACCCTCAAGAAATGCCAGTCAAATGCAGTGGACTCTCGCCCAGTTTGGTGGGAACGCCTGAAGTCACAGGACAGAGAGCTGAGGGGGCAAGGCTGAGGGGAGGTGCTGTGCACGTGCCAGGGCGCCCACGGCCTCCGACAGACCTTGGCCTCCAGGCACGCCGTGCAGCAGCAGTCAGGACAGCCCATGGACTCTGCGCCAGTGCTTAGTATCTGAACCCCAGAAGTGCTCTCACCTGACCCCACATGCGATCAGCTCTGGGACTCCCAGCCACTGTAGCTGCCAGTGTGGGTGGTGCTTGCCCAGGGCCCAGGTGGCACAGTGAACCGGACTCTGATCTTCAGGGCAACTGTCTGGCCAATAGGGTGATGTCAGTGGTGCGCTCAGCTTGGAACATTGCAGGAATGCAGCTGGGTGGGTGCTGGCTGGGATCTTGGGGCCTGGGTGCTGGAGGGACAAGAGCCTTAGGAGCTAGGACCCTGTCCAGACAGCAGCCAGGCCTCTGCCCACCTGGCACCCCCAGCTGGCTGCCAAGCCTCTCCTGAAGCTGAGAGCTGCCTTTTTGCTGCCTCTGGGCACCCATGTGGGCTGCCAGTTGTCTCGGATCGGATAGGAGCCCCCTGCCTGGAGGCGTGAGCCGTGCTCCTGGCCCGCCGCTGAGGGGCCCCCGCCCTGCCCTGCCCCCAGCTGATGGCCTGGACCCGGAGGCTTCTCTTCAGCCACTCTGCAAATGCGATCCACACCACCCCCCGCCCCCCACCAGCCCCTCATGCACGTGGCTCTCCCTGGCCTTTGGGGCAATCCAGTGGCCTTCAGGGCTGTCTGCAGAGGCCTTGTCTCCCTGCGGCCGGAGAGAACTCCGGCACCATCCACTTCTCCCTGATCTGCTGCACTCCTCAGCCCTGGCCCTCGGCCCTCCTTGTCTCTTCCCACGCATCCCAGGGCCCAGGATCCGTGGAGAGGCCCTGGGAAGGCACACACTGCGCCCTGCAGACCTGCCGCGGCTGCCTCGGGGTTCCCCTGGGAAAGGCACCCAGGGAGGGCCAGGCAGGGAAGCAGGAGCCCGCTTGGCTCCTGCCGAAGAGTGAACAGAAGCAAAACGTGCCTTTGGTTAATTTTTCTTCTAATAGAAGTAATTGAGAGTCAAATGAAATACCGTTGAAATTTTCCATGAAAATAATCACCCTGCTATTTCACATGATTTTCCCAGGCTTTGTTGTATGACTTGGAAACCAGGCTTGTTACGAAGGAGGCAGAGTTGGGGTGTGCAGCGAACAGGCGTTTCTCCCAAGCGCACGGGCACGTTTTTTCAAACTGTGTTTTTTAATTGGCCTCTTCATGTACAAATGAGCAGTGTAACGGACAAGCAGGGCACCTTAATCCCAGCGCCACAGTCGGCCAGTTTGCAGGTTCAGGCCTCCTTTATGATACATGCCACAGACGCAGTGTCTTTGTATTAAAAGGATTTTTGTGCTGAAATGTGCCCGTTCGAGGTTTTGTTTGCATTTTATATACTGTGCCATTGTTCCCATACCTCCTGGCATCGTTAAAATTCAAAGGGGAGTATATTTTGCAAAGCAAATTGGATCGCATTCTAATGAAATATAGTTGCTCACCACCAAGGGACAGGCTGCAAGGACCCTTGAGACGATGTGGTTTTCTAGCAGCCTTTGGTCCTCGGGCCCCGCTGTAGCCCCAGGGAGCTGCAGTGCCATGCGGGGACCCACACAAGACCCTTGGGAGCCACCAGCCTGAGCCTCACTCTTCTGTCCGCAGGGACAGTGGCACAGCGACGTCTTCAGTGGACTGGGCAGCATGGCCCACTGCTCAGGGGTCACCTATTATGGGTTGTGGATCAACGGCCACCCAGCAGGTAGGTGTCCCTGCCTTCCCCTGGGCACTGTGAGGTCCACTGTGGGGTGTGTCCCTGGCCCCTGGGCAGTCACATGGGAGATACTGACCCAGAGCACACTGGGGAGGAGTGGGGCGCTGTGGAATCTAAAATCCCATCTCTTTTTAGGAAAAACATGTTTGATGTCAAAAGTGCTCCTGCTGCAAGTGGGGCCTCCCAGATTTGGGGCCTGAGTGTTTGGGGGTGACCTGGTCACAGCTGCGCTGTCCCCCAAGTGGCTTCTGTCCAATTTCCCTGAGCCCTCTGCACTGTGATGTGACCACAGGGTGGCCTCGGGCTCACAGAAGGACCAGCCAGTTGGGCCTCCTCTGGGGGTGCCTCCCTGAGCCACCTTCCCTCTCACCATGGTGTTCCTGGTGGCCTCTGGGTGGCCTCTCAATAGATTCCAGGATGAGGGTGCCACCCCAGGGGTCAGTCTGGCCAGGGACATGACACTCATCCAAACCTTGGGGCCAAGTTCGTGACAGGTGCAGGTGCCGCTAGCACCGACTCGGGCTCTGCACTGGGGATACCTGCAAGGTCTCAGCCCAGGCAGCCCCACACATACCTCCTCAGCTTGGAGGACCTTGGAGGACCAAGACCTGTTAGCTGGGAGAGGTCACAGGGTTGACAGGTAACAGTAACTGCTGCCCTCAGCACAGACCTGCTGGCCCTGGGCTCCTTGTGGAGGCTGAGGTCTTGGGGAAGGCAGAAGTGGCCAGGTGCCCGGGGAGCACTGAGAGGCAGGTCCCAGCACCCGCACACACACAGTGCACCCTGCAGGGGATCCTGGAGCAGTGGCCGAGCCTGGGTCCCGGCCCAGATGCTTTTGCCTCAGGTGGAGTCTCCCTGAGCGGCCCCTGGATCCTCAGCAGAGCCCTCCAGGAGTGTCTTGGTGACCTCACCTCAAGGGAAATAATCCAGATCCCAGCCCCTCCTCCCAAAAGTCTCTTGGTCCTTGTTGAAATTCCTAAGTGGGAAAAACGGGGCAAGAGGTGCAGGACGTAGCCTGGGTTCACCCTGAGGAGGGTCTCCCTCCAAACCAAAGTGGGCTCTGGCTTTACCCCCAGAACACAGCAAGAGCTCCCACGGGGGCCAGAGTTTCAGGCCCTTCCCCAGCCCCACCGTTGCCATGAAGTCCAGGGCACCCGCCACCCTGTGTACCAGGCGTCACCTGTGCTGCCTTTCAAGGCAGCCTCAGATTCCAGGCGTTCTCCCAGCATCTGCTTTTAAAGCCCCTCCATTGTGCTTTGCTGGAGGCCGGTCCATGGTGGAGAGTCAGGGATGGCGGGTGGGGGCAGGGGTGGTGGGCAGCAGGACACGGTGTGGCAACACTGCCCACAGTGATGCCCCACAGGCCTCGGTAGAGCAGGGGTGGCCCTGGCTGCCAGGAGGCACTGGCCAGCCAGTGGACCCACCCTTGCCGGGCCTCGCCCCAGCCCCGGGTCCAGCACCTCAGGGTGCTGACTCAGACGCAGGGAATGCAGGGCCTGAATCCCAACCAGCGGGAAGACATGCCGGAACATTCCATGGGCAGGAAAATCCTACAGCCCCACACCGCCCACTTGTGTCTCTTGCGTACTCCGTGGTCCCTGTGGTCCACTTGACTCGATTCCACAGTGCTCCCGGCCAGCAGAGCCGAGCCGCACGGTCTGAGTGCGGACGACTGCCCAGGTTGCTGCTCTGCAAGGTGGCTTGTGGGGGGTCGGCCCCAGCATGTGCTTGTGTTCCAGCTGCCACACCGAGCTCGGGTCGGTTCCCAGGGCGCCCACTGCTGACTCAGCCATGGGGTGGGTGGGGGGCCATGCCAGTCACCGCTAAAGCCACACTCTGTCCTCTCCCAGAACAAGCCACGAGGATCGCGATCTTGGGTCCGGAGGTGATGGAAGTGGCCCAAGGGTCTCCCTTCTCGGTGAACGTTCAGCTGCTGCAGGACCACGGGGAAATTGCCAAGAGTAAGCATCTCCGGGGGGAGATGACCTAATGTTTCCGAAAGAGAAACGGGCAGCAGGTTCTTAAGCAGTGAAGATGTGGACAAGATGTTGCATGTGGCTCCTGAGGCACAGAGGTGACTTCGTGCCCAGAGCCTGGCAGAGAGGTTGCAGGCGTGCCAGCTCCCCTGCCAGTCAGGGCAGCTATGGGTGTGTGTGCAAGCATGCGTGCACATACTGTGTGATGTGCGTGCTCATGTATGTGTGTGCATATGTGTGTATGACTTGCACAAGTGTGCACAGGTCTGACTGTGTATGCGTGTGGTGGGGGCACGCGTGCGTGCGTGTCAGTGTGTCCTTCCTTTTCAGGAGGAACAGTCTCCGTTCCGGTGATGGGCCACTTTCTGCTTCCCCACTCGTCTGCCAGTGGGCCTCGCAGTTGTTTGCACCTTGGGCTGTAGTGAATGGTGCCGCTGTGAACATTTGTATACAAGTTTCTGTGTGAATGTGTTTTCATTTCTCATGGGTATGTACCTACAGATGGAATTGCTGGATCATGTGGTAGATTTATGTTTGAACTTTTTTTCTTTTTTGAGACGGAGTTTCCCTCTTCTTGCCCAGGCTGGAGTGCAATGGTGCAATCTCGGCTCACCACAACCTCCGCCTCCTGCGTTCAAGCGATTCTCCTGCCTCTGCCTCCCGAGTAGCTGAGATTGCAGGCGTGTGCCACCACGCCACGCTAATTTTGTATTTTGAGTAGAGATGGGGTTTCACCATGTTGGTCAGGCTGGTCTCGAACTCCCGACCTCAGGTGATCAGCCCGCCTCAGCCTCCCAAAGTGCTGGGATCACAGGCGTGAGCCACCGCACCTGGCCTGAACTTTTGAAGAAACTCCTAAACTGTTTTTCCAAAATGGCTGCAGCATTTTACAGTCCTGCCAGCAATGCATGAAGATTCAGATTTCTCCGCATCTTCCCAGCACTTGGAATTGTGTCTTTGTGTAATAGCTGCCCTGTCGGTGTGAATTGGTAACTCCTCGTGATTTTGATTCGCATTTCCCTAACAACCGTTGATTATGAGTGGCTCTCGCTGTGCTTATTGGCTATTTGTTTATCTTCTTTGGAGAAATGTCTATTCAAATATTGTACCCATTTTTTAAAAATTGGACTGTCAAACAGTACAGTGGCTCACACCTAAAATCCCACCACTTTGAGAGGCTGAGGTGCAAGGATCACTAGAGCCCAGGAGATCTTTCTTTTTTTTTTTTTTTTTTTTGAGACGGAGTCTGGCTCTGTTGCCCAGGCTGGAGTGCAGTGGCGCGATCTCGGCTCACTGCAAGCCCCGCCTCCCGGGTTCACGCCATTCTCCTGCCTCAGCCTCCC